ATCCATCAGAGATATCCATATAGACTTAACAAAAATATAAGTTGAATTGCAAACACTCTCAGGTTGAGGGAAGAATTACATATCTGTCTGTCTGTCTGTCTGTCTGTCTATCTATCTATCTATCTATCTATCTATCTATCTATCTATCTATCTTTATTTTATTTATTTATTTATTTATTTATTTGGAAAAATTATATAAAATTTCTTGGGATGAATTATTTATTTTTTATTTGTTGATTTGTTTAGATCTTGGGACTCACTCTAAAAGTGCAGTCTGCTTCACACTAAGCTATAATTTACATATCACAGTGGTTGAGTTCACATATTTCACACAAAGCCAAGCAAACTATGTTTTAGTGCAACATGTGAGTACACTCTCTGGATTAATCACACATAGAGTAAATCCATTGAAATCAATAAGATTTAATTCAATCATGATTGATTTATCTCTGTTTAAACTCATAAAAAATTCTTTAAGTAGAATTAATATTTGAACTAACTTGTTATCTTAGAATTTGCAGCAGCTCTCCTCCTTCCTCCATGGCCGGTACCAGTTGGTGCTGGTAGGGGAGGAAGGGTCCAGCTGTAGGGTCCTGTTATGTGGGGTGCCTCAGGGCTCAGGTCTGTCTCCCCTCCTATTTAACATCTATTTAAAGCCACTGGGTGAGGTCATTTGGCAGTATGGGGTTTGGTATAATCAATATGCTGATGATATCCAGTTATACATCTCTACCCCATGCTGGGCAAGTGATGCTGTTGGTGCACAATTTGGGGGTCCTCCTGGACTTGTGATTCCTGCTAGAAGAGCAGGTGGCAGCCATGGCTGGGGGGGGGCTTCTTGTCTCATCTTGTCTCATGTCAGAAATGCAGGAACTGGAAGGGGGGCCTTTGCATAAATTCAACTCGTATGCAAGTTGTGCCCATTCATGAACTAGGACACCATTGCTTGTGGTCACTCATGCCTTAGAATAGAGGATATAAGGAATAGCCTTGAAGGACAGGAGGAAGGGTTACTATCAAGGTAATGGTCAGATAAGAGGGGCTTGAACCCAGTCCAAGAAATTAGTTTGAGTAAATGTCTCAGAAAGGCCCCTCCCTAGTTCACATGAATATAAAGTAAGGCGGGGGAGGGATGCACATTCAGACTTAAGATTCTGTTACAATAAAAGTAGTCCTGACCTATATGGCATTGGTTTCTTAGTCTGATCTACCTTGTTGAGCTGAGACTTAGTCACCTTCCAATTGCAGTAATTGAATTACTGCAACACACTCTACGTGGGGTTGCCCTTGAAGGCCATCTGGAAGCTGCAACTGGCCCAGAATGCAGCAATGCATGAGTTATGCAGCTATTGTGTGAGCTGCACTGGCTCCTAGATCCTTTCCAAATGCAATTCTAGGTGTTGGCTATCACCTTAAAAGCCCTACAGGCTAGGTTATTTGCAAGACCTCTTCCCACAAAGATACCTACCCATTCCCACTAGGTCAGATAGGTTGGCCACCCCAGGCCCCTCTCTTAAATGCTGTCATCTGATAGGACCTCAGAGGCACACCTTTTCTGTAGCTGTCCTAGCCCTTTGTAAGAGTTTCCCACTAAGATTCAAGGACTCCCCATTCTTTTAGCCTTCCAGAAGTCCATGAAGACCTGGCTCTTTCCCCAAGCATTGGGCTAGGGTGGGAGTTGAGCCAGGAAGTTAATGGTTGGTCTGGTGCCTAGTGGGAAGGTTGTTCTGTTTGTATTCTGGTTTTGTTGGTTGTTGTGAGCCACCTAGGATGACTATGTGAGATAGGCGGCCATATAAGTTCTTGAAATAAATAAATTCTGACTAAAAAGGAATAAGCAAGCATGGCAAACTCGCTTATGTTATATTTAGGCCAGAATTCTTGATATCTTCTACTTTTAATAAGATAGAATCATAAGGCAATAAAAATCCTATTACTGAACACAAATACAGTCATTATTTAATTATTTGAAGAAAGAACAAAATCAGTACCAATGCCAGTAAAGCTACTTCCAATATTGTTTTATTTTAAAGGTTAGTATTTCAAGCTTTAAGAAATGCCTTTAGGTGCGTTGAGGCCATACTGTCTTTCGTTGGCATGTTTCACTGCTTCACTGGATTTTAATTATATAATTAAAATTAAGTTTGAGATATTCAAGACAGTAACAGAATGAAGCTTTAGGTTCATTGGGTTTTTCTAGCTCAGTAAGAGTACATCATGTTGCTATAACTCAGAATCACATCACAAAATATTTTGTCGTAGCTTGTGATTCTGTTTTCTGTGGAAAATATAGTCACTGACTCCACCCTCGCTGTAAAATTTTCAAGCCTTTACTATAATAGCAGTAAATTTATTTAAATAGCATTTATTTGTATTTAAACATATGATACTAGGATACTAAGAATTTGTAAGTGAAATGGAGATCTCTTTGCTTTTTCCATATGTTTTATATATCATATGTTTCATATTGTAGGTGTTCTAGTACTTGGTCTAATTTGTATTGTGCAATATTTAGCTGACCTTGGCTGATCTAGAAAGCAAACTGGTTTGGGCCTGGTTAGTACTTGGATGGGAAAGCTACCTGGGAAGTCCAGGACTATAGGCTAGACTGGGAAGTTGAAAAAAAAAAGTCTCACAAAAAGGCAATAACAAACCATTTCCATATCAGGACAATAAAACTCCATGTATGTGTTAATTTAAATCAATAGGAGCTGAGTTCAACTTGGAGGTGACTTTACTGTATTCTTATATGGGCAACATGAGCAAGAGTTTAAAGATCTCTAGAACATAACTATTGTACTGAGTCTTTTTAAAATAATGTACTACGGAGAATAGAAGACTTATACATGAATTGAAGGGCTTCCTGTCCTGCAGTATGCAAAACTTGGGAATTACATACGGCTACCATACCTATCAGCCACACAATCCACAGACATATTTTAAATTATCCAGAGTTTTGTCGTAAAGCATGATCTGTTCTTGAAGTGGCTTGCCCCCCAGAAAGGGCGGCATGGATTCCTTCTGGTGCCTTTGTTTTGTGCCTCCCCCTTATGTCTTTTGGAGTATAGGTTTGTAGTACTTAGCATACTGTAATTTGAACAACTAGCTGGAATCTTTCATTTCTCAGATTTAAGTGTTTAGTCAGAACTCCATTCTCAGTTTTCCCAAAGTTATTGGGGCTTTTCTCAGAATTTATAACAGTTCAGGTACTCACTGATCAGCCCAATTATCATGCTCATTTCTTGCCATCTTTCTTTCCTACTCTGGGCCAAGGATTTCCTGCTTGTACTCTTGAACTATGTTGCTTCCATGTTTGCCTTATAGTTCCTCATAGAGCTTCACTCTTTGTAGAGCAACCATTGAGATTCTCTAGCTGCTTTTCATTTTTGGACGCAGTTGAATCATACAGAGTTTGATGCAAGTTTATTTCTTTTTCATCTGATACTGCTCTAAAGCTTGCATTCTGCACCTCACGTTGTTCTATACCATTTTATCCCAAGGCCTCCATAAGGCTTATTTTATTCTCCCCACCCGTAATATGTTAAGTCATAATTTCTTTCTTGTACAGTGGTACCTCTACTTACGAACTTAATCCGTTCCGTGACTCTGATCGCAAGTTGAGTTGGTCGCAAGTCGAGGTAAATTTTCCCATACTTCTCTTTGCAAACTGCAGATCTGCTCTCAAATCTCTAGAACACACTCTGTGAGGACAAGGGA